AGTGGGCATCGTTTCTGAATGGACTGGTGGGGATACTTTTGGGTTCGCAGGCGCACGACGCGAGTCGGACGCCGGGCAAGCAGGGGCAGGCTATGCCACCTGCGAGAGAAAAAACAGGGCAGGTTGGTGGGGATACTTTTGGGCTTGTAAACGCACGAATCAAGTCGGACGCCGGGCAAGCAGGGGCAAGCTATGCCACCTGCGAAAGAAAAAAGCAAGGCAACGATCACGCCGGGCGGACCAACAAGGCGGATGCTAATGGGGATTTGTTTGATCGCGCCCGCGGCGAATAGTCGACGGGCGTCAGGGGGCGGTGCAGGCAAGCAACGGCCTGAATTAGCGCAAGGGGGGAGGGAAAGCGAAAAAGGAAAACCAAACGTGAGGGGGGCAAACAGGAGGCGAGCCTCGCTGCGGCTCACAGGACGGCGCACACCAGGCGTGGGGATATGTTTTTTGGTCGCGGCCGCGGGCGAAAGCGCACACGGCGTGTCGTAAGTCCGGGGCGCGGGCCTACTAATTGACAACAGCAAACTAGAGCCGACAACCTAAACAGCCTAAGCGGCGCCTCGCGAGAGCTGCAACCTTTGCTGAATGTGGATGCCGAGGCCAGGAGCCGGGGGGCCCACACAGCGCCCTTGCAATGATAGCGGTGGCTGCCAAGGCGTGGGGGCACGCGAAGCGTCAACAATCTACCCCGGCGAAGCATCCAAATAGCAACAATACTGAAGAGGAAGGTCGAGAAGTACGTCGGCTAACCGTACGTAGTGTTTGTGCATGTGTAAACAGATGTAAAGCTGATGCAATCCCACCAGCCCTTTGGGCGCATGTGGTCCGAAGGTGTCTTTCTTTCCTCATCCAAAGTCCCCTTTTCCCCCTCGGGGAGGGGTTTATCCTTACTTCCTATGATGAAGAACCCCCACATCCCTACCTAGCCAGCCGATAGCAACCCCGCCGTCCGAACTCTCCCAAAAACAACACAAATTCATTTTTTCTCGCCAGCATGTCGTCGAATTGCGAAAACTGTAACAGGAATGGGACGGAATGAACATCGCTCGGGTAATCCTAAGCGGGCGGTCGCGTCCTACCCATGAAAACCATACGAAGTCAACGTTGCCCTCGTCAACATTAACTTTCTTGTCGTCGACTCTGCGAAAGGTGTAGCACGAATGGGACGCGGCGCACACCGCGCGCGGACGCCTGGCCAACCCTACGCGGGCCCCCCCGTCCTACCTGTCAAAGAAAAACCGCAACATGGCCAACATGTATTTTCTCCTCGTCGGCGCTGCGAATCGCGCAGCGGGAATGGGACGCGGCGCACATCGCGCGGGGACGCCTGCTCGTCAACAAGGAATTTGTTGTCGTCGACGCTGCGGCCCGTCGGGTTGAGGAGCTGGGCGGGCGCTCAACGGAACAATTCCGGATCGCCAGACACCGGGAAGATGTCGGGGGTGCCGGCTGGCGGGGATACTTTTTGGTCAACGGCCTCGTGAAGCGGGTCAAAAGGCGTCCAAACCCTAGCTGGGCCACAACTAGGCAGCGAAAAGCGGAAAGCAAGACAGGCGCAGCACCCGGGCGGCAGCTCAGAAGGGCGAGAAAAACAGGTAGACCCATTCCCGGCGGCGTCCGAAAATCCCGGTGGCTACAAAAAGTAGACGCAGCCAAAATGGCGCGGCGGCGCGACCGAAATCACGTAGAAGGCTGGTGGGGATACTTTTTTGGATTAGCGGCCCGCAAGGAAAAGTCCAGAGGGCGTGAGTACCGAGGCTGGGGCACAGCGCAAGATAATTAGCGCGAGAACGCGCGGAGTGCACATGCAAGGACCAATTAAGGACACGGCCGGCGTAAGCCAGCTGGTGGGGATACGCGAAGCAGCGTCAATTCATATTCCAGGACTTGGACCACTCGGGACAGGGGCGAGAGCACGGCAGTGTGCACCGTAGTGTTTTTTCAAGTGGCCGTCCAGACCAAGAATGTAGCCAGAATTGCAAGACAACTGCTGCTGAATATAGTGCGAGGGAAAATAAGGCGAAACGGCTGTTGAACAGGGCGGTCTAGGCAGGCGGTCCCAGGCTCCCCTTCCGCCGGTCGGGACTCTTCTGTGGTCCTGTCTGATCACTACTCCTGGAAAAAATGCAACCTCGCATTGAAGCTCCAACACGCCGGAGGCGCCGTCAGGGGCGCTGGAGACGCCGCCAGGGGTGTCCAGCGCAGATCCAAGAAATCCGCTCGGAGCGTCCAAAGGTTCTGTTTACGCCGGTTTCTCTTCCTCGATTTTTCTCTAAGAGGCAACGATAGGGGGCGACCACCTCAGGGGACGAGACATCGAGCTGGAATATGCGACACATCGCCGATAGATCGGCGGTAGGCCCCTGATAGCGAATGGGCCCCTATCGGCGATCAGAGGGCGAATGTGGGTCGATGCGTCTCCCCCTGAGCCTACTCCAGATTTCGTAATAAAGGGAGGGGGGTCTCATTTCGGGGGGGGGTCTCTTCCAGGCTATCTTGGAGGGCCTGGGGGGTCTGGGGACGATGTTTTGGAGGGTTTTCCCACGGGGGAGGTCTGAAATGGCTTGTCTTGGAGGGTCCAGACCCCCTCCCTTTTATTACGAAGTCTGGAGTACCCCCCCGCAACGTTGCCCCTGACCTTCCGCTCCTCAGCCTGCAAGCCATAACTGGGCTCTCTGGCGGCCGCTCGGGACGACGGGCACCTCCGGAGCGCTCCCGGCGAGGCGCAGCCGCCACACACGCACCCCGAGGCTGCAAAAACGGCGAGGGCCGACGCCAACGCCCGAGAACCTCGAAATGCGAGCCCCGAGCTTGTGCAGTCAGCGCGCAGAAGAAGGAGGCGCGACCATGGCGCAAGGCCCTTGGAGAGGCCATGCCAGCACTGTTCGAGCGGGGCGCGGCCAGCGAAAACGGCCAAGGATGGGCCGAAGCGGAAGGATGCGAGGACAATCCTGGAGAATCGCTCATCTAGGGGAACGAACGATGACATAAACCTAAAAACTCGGAAGTCCGCGCGGATTTCTCGGATCGGCGCCGGACCCCCCTCCCGCGCCGGAGGCGCCGCCAGCTGGCCCCAGCGCCGATCCGAGAAATCCGCGCGGACCTCCGAGTTTTTAGATTTCTGCCACTGTTCGTTCCCCTCTAGATGAGCGGTTCTCCAGTGTTGCCCTGGCACCCTTCCCCTTCGGCCCATCCTTGGCCGCTCTCGCTGGCCGCGTCCCGCTCCAACAATAGCGGCATGGCCTCTCCAAGGCCCTATCCCCAGACCCCCGACGTCATGATTTTTTCATGACGTCGACCCCAAGCGGTCTGGACCCATTCCCCAGGACCGGTTTTTCATCCTGAGTCGTTTTTTGACGGCCCCGAGGGCCGGTAAGGGCCCCCAGAGGCCGAAAATCATGAAAAACCTCCCGTCGTGATTTTTTCATGACTCGAGGGGGTCTGGGCTTAGGGGGCGAACGAACCCACCTCGCTTCTGACCGCTCTCGCCTCCAAGCGCTGCCAAGCGATGCCAAACTGCGGCCCCGCACGGGTCCGGCCCCTCGACCGGGGAGGCGCGTGGCATCAACCTGGGTTCTGCCTGGACGCGAAAGCGGGGCAGGCCATTCAGGCTCTGACCTATCACCCCTACTCCAGATTTCGTAATAAAAGGGAGGGGGTCTCAACCCTCCCGGACGAGAAGTTTTAGACCCCCCCCGTGGGAGAACCCTCCAAAACGTCGTCCCCAGACCCCCCCAGGCTCTCCAACCCCCGAAATGAGACCCCCCTCCCTTTCTTACGAAATCTGGAGTAGCTGTTCGTGTTGACTCTGACGCTGCCCCTGCGTCCCCCCCTGCCGGCCCGCACCGGCGCCGCCGCCGCCCGGCGCGGCGGCGGGCGCCCGCGCGAGGCGCGGCGCGCGGCCGGCGAGGCCCGCCGCGGCCGCCCAGGGCGCGGCCGCGGCGGAGCTGCCGGCGGCGCCGCCCGCGGGAAGCGCACGCTGCATGCTCGGGGGAGGCACGCACGGAGCGACGAGGAGGAGGAGGGGGAGGAGGAGGAGGAGGCGGAGGAGGAGGAGGAGGAGGAGGAGGAGGAGGGGGCGGAGGAGGAGGAGGAGGTCCTACGCGAGACACACTGACTACCTACCAGACCACCCCAACCCAACCCGAAGACGCGAACTTCGGGTTGGGGGGGGTGAGGGTTCCACATGCGTTTTTGTCGATGTTTCCCGACCCCCCCCCACTGGAAATCGAGGGTAAATCTGAGCCTTCGGGTTGGGTTGGGGTGGTTTGGTGGGTGGTGACACACGGAGCGACGAGGAGGAGGCGGAGGAGGAGGAGGAGGAGGAGGAGGAGGAGGAGGAGGCGGAGGGGGCGGAGGAGGAGGAGGAGGTCCTATACGCGAGATGGCGTAGCGACCTCGCGCGGCGGCTCACGCCGGCCGCCCGCGCGGCACGCCACCCTCGGAGCGATCGGGCGCCCGCGCGCGACCCTTTGCGCGGGCAGCTTGCGCGCCAGCGTCGGCGCAGACGATATCGCGTGCTCCTGCGTCGCTCGCATGCCTGGCGGCGCGCACACAAGGGCAGGGGGAGGGGCCCAGACCCCCTCGAGTCATGAAAAAATCAGGACGGGAGGTTTTGCATGATTTTCGGCCTCCGGGGGCCCTTGCCGGACCTCGGGACCGTCAAAAAACGACTCAGGACGAAAAACCGGTCCCGGGGAATGGGCCCAGACCGCTGGGGGTCGACGTCATGAAAAATTCATGACGTCGGGGGTCTGGGGGGGCAGGCCTCTTAGAAGGAGGTCCGCTTCTTGGAAGGCGCCGGCCCGACATCTACGGGCAAGGCCCGCGCCTTGTTTCAAGAAGCAGCCTCTCTCTCTAAGAAGCCTCGCGCCCCCCCCCCCCCCTACCCCCCTCTGCGCGTGGCTGATCTGTTCCGTCGCGCCCCTCTCCGCGTCGAATCCGTGTGGAATCCATGTCGGACTCGTCGGATTCGTGCCGAGCCCACGTCGAATCCGCGTCGAATCCACGCCATCTTCCGGGTCGAATCCACATCGAGCCCGCGTCGGGCACAAGAAAACATACAGATTGCGGGGACAGCCGAGGCCCCCCGAAGATGCAACGTGAGGAAGCTCGTGCGCCGCGAGCTGCGCGAGCACGTGGCGCTCGAACTCGCCCTCGCCCCGGGATACGGTAACGATCGTACTGCGGGATGACGATTGATAAAAAAATGGGAGAGAACGATTAAACAATTAGTTTTCTACTATTTCTCCATAATTTTCTGACTGGAGGAGAACGATCAAAAAATAGTTTTCCAGCCCGCGGCCGGTTTTTATCGTCATCCCCGGCGCCGCCGCGTGAACACGACCCTCGGTCATTTATTAATCGTCATCCTCCATATGGGGGGACCTGGGCCCCCTCCACGATGCGGATGCCCGCGCGCAGACTATGGCCGTATGGCGGTCGCAGCGCACGCCCGCCCCGACGTGCCCCACCCTGCCCCAGCGCTACGGTCCACCACCCAAGGCCCCGAACCCCCTCCCCAGGCAATGACCGTTACCAGAAATAATGAACAACAAATGATACCGGAGAAAAAACCCAATCAGGGTTATAGGGCTAGGGGGCTATAAGGCTATTGAGCTACCTGCAGGGCTGTAGAGTTATAGGGCTATAGAGTTGTAGGGCTATAGGGCTATAAGGCTATTGGGCTATAGGGCACCCCCGGGCACCCCCCTGGGCACCCAGGCGTGCAGCGAAAATCGGCGGCCAGCCTCACCCCCGGGCACACCCGGGCACCCGGGCGTGCAGCGAAAATCGGCTGCAAACCTGACCTAACCATTATGAATCCGCCAGGACCCCTGCAGAGGCGAGCTCTGATTGGGGATTCTCCCGCGTCCGACATTTGCGCGAGAGTTCCTCCTGGAGATCTCTGGAGATCTGTCTCAAGGGCTCCCAACTTCGCGCTTCGCGCTGCGCGAAGCGCGAAGCGCGAATAACTTCGCGCTCTCGCGCCGCCCTCCCAAAGGGAGAATAGGAGGACGAGGAGGAGGGGGAGAAGGAACGAGGACCGCGAAGCGCGAAGCGCGAATAACTTCGCGCCCTCGAGGGAGCCCTTATGTCTGGATTTGCACTGACCGATTGCTGTCGCGACGCAAGCATGCCAAGGGTGCTCGGGCTGCACCTCGGGCCTCCGGCGGCCGTTTTCGGGACGACCATGGGCACCCTGGGAACGCCCTCGGCGAGGCGAAGCTGCTGCAAAAGCATCCCGAGGCTGGAAAACCGACGAGAAACGACGAAACAGCCCGAAAACGGCGAAAAACCTTTATAGTCTCCTTTTTCTCACAAGCGATGGAGGAAAAGCCGCTCGGCCCTCAGAGGAACCGTGCCCCGGGCCGGTCGGCCGACCTGCGGCCCCGATGTACCTGGACTAACCTCTGTTTATCTGGACTGACCTCGAGGCGTACCTGGGTCCATCTCCCTTTTTACTCGGGGTCGCGCAAACATGTATCAGCGATCCATGGATTTGGCGCGCGGTCGCCAAATCCATAGATCGGGGGAGGTGCCCTCCCCAGAATGCGGCGGTGACGCCTCGTTCGAAGACGGACATCCGCGATTTCCCCTGGAAACGGGACCCGTCGCTAATCCACGCCCCCTTCATCCATGTTTGCGATCGCCTGATTTACCTGGAACTGCCTCGGTTGACCTGGCTTGCTCACCGCAGGTCCATCGGAGAAAAGCGAAAAGCCGTTCATAGAGGCCCTCCCAGATGGGGTCGGAGGATCGCGCCGCATCGACAATGTACCGCCAATGCATCGGCGATGCATCGGGCATCGGCGATGCACCGGCGATACACTGGCGATGCATCAGCGACGTCGGCGTGAATCAAATCGGGCCCCACATCGAGCCGCACCGCCGATGCATCGGCGGTGCGGCGCGATCCTCCGACCCCATCTTCTCGGACCCCATCTGGGAGGCCTCTTTTCCACCACCACCACCATAAATTGGAGTGGGGGAGGAGGAGGAGGAGGAGGAGGAGGAGGAGGAGGAGGAGGAGGAGGAGGAGGAGGAGGAGCAGGAGGAGGAGGAGGAGGAGGAGGACCGAGGAGGAGGAGGAGGAGGACCCCCTCCCCCTCCGACTTGTGGTGCTGGTGGTGGAACACAGGCCCATCACACACGGGAGGCCTCGAGTTCAGCCCTCCGGGGGGACCTCGCCCAGGGCCGGCCAGCCGACCAGCGGGCCCCCGCCGGCCGCGGGCAGGGCCTTCGCAGCTGGCCCGCCCCGCTCGAGGAGCGCCGGCATGCCCTCCACGAAGCGGCGCAGGCGCGCGAGGCCGGGCAGCTCTGGGCTCCACGGGGCCAGCTCCTCTGCAGAGGGGAGCCAGCAGGAAGGCAGGGCATCGCGCACTCAAGACTTCTGGAGGAGGAGGAGGAGGAGGAGGAGGAGGAGGAGGAGGAGGAGGAGGAGGAGGAGGAGGAGGAGGAGGAGAGGAGGAGGAGGAGGAGGAGGAGAGGAGGAGGAGGAGGAGGAGGAGGAGGAGGAGGAGGAGGACGAGGAGGAGGAGGAGGAGGAGGAAAAAGAGGAGGAGGAGGAAAAAGAGGAGGAAGAGGAAAAGGGGAGGACATGAGACGAAAAAAGAGAAAAAGAGGCGGAGGCAAAAGAGGAGCAGAGAGCGAGCAGAGGGAAGGACGGGGCGATGCACCTGTCTCGCACAAGGCCGTTGCCGCCCCACGTCGGGGTACCCGGGGCCAGCACGGCTCGACCCGGACCGAACAGTGCAGCGGCAGGATGTGTTCTGCAGGGCTCGGGTCGCGCTTTGCCCAGACCCCCTCGAGTCATGAAAGAATCACGACGGGAGGTTTTTCATGATTTTCAGCCTCTGGGGGCCCTTACCGGCCCTCGGGACCGTCAAAAAACGACTCAGGATGAAAAACCGGTCCTGGGGAATGGGTCCAGACCGCTTGGGGTCGACGTCATGAAAAACTCATGACGTCGGGGGTCTGGGGTCTGGGTGTCGCGATGTTGCACGCTTTCCGCAACGTCGGATCCCGGGGTGCCAGCACGAAGGAACCCTCGAGGGCGCCGAGTTCTCCCCGCTTCGCGGTTCTCGGCTCGGCCCCGCCTCCTCCCCAGACATGGCCGCGCCACGAGAAAAAAAAGCGGACGGTTCTGGCAACGTCTCGATCTCCGGGAGCCCTCGTCGAGCCCCATTGATCGTCAAAAACTACGCAAAGCCGGTCCCCAGCAAGGTGTCTGGACCCCTGGGGGTCCACGTCAGATGAAACAATCAAGACATCGGGGGTCTGAGTCTGGGTGAAGTACCCGTATCGCTAACTCCCGGGACCTCTCCCGAGGTGCGCTCTGGCCAGGGTTTCGGGGCGAACGCAGCCATGGCGGCGAGGGCCTGCCAGGGGCCCCAAACGTGGCAAAAGCACCAGAGGCAAGGGTAGCGGTGTCGGCACCCTTTTCCCCCTTCTGAGCGGGCCCGGTGGGCTGTCAGGCCCCCATCGGCGGCAACTGGGCGATGGTGTGTCGATGCAGTTCCCCCTGAGCCTCTCTCACCAGGAGGAGGAGGAGGAGGAGGAGGAGGAGGAGGAGGAGGAGGAGGAGGAGGACGAGGAAGGAGGAGGGGGAGGAGGAGGAGGAGGAGAGGGAGCATTCCCCCCGAGCCTCTCTCGCCACGAGCGTTGCCCTCCAGTCCTCGGGTTCTCGCTCGGCCCCCCGGCGGCCGCTCGGCCGCTCGGGGCGATCCCCACACACCCGAGGGAGCGGCCTCGGCGAGAGGCGCGGCCGCTGGAGCGCTCCCCCCCCGAGGCCGGAAAGCCGCCGAGGGCCGACGAAAACGCGCGCGAGGATCTCGAAGTGCGAGCCTCGAACTCCTGACGTTGTGGATGCCACGACAATGGACACCCTAGCAGTCCTGTCATTGAACTTAAAATGTGTTTAAAACATCGGAAGCATGTCCTGAACATGTTTTACACATGGCTTGTTCACATGTTTGAAACAATTTAAACAGATGTTCTAGACATCTGGAAATCATTTGGCAGCATGTTTCCTCTCCATTGATCGTCCTCCACAATCCTGACGTTGCCCCGTCTCCCCCCGGCACTGCCCTTGATAGGGAAACGAGCTCTATATAACCGACGCCTTTGTCCGACCCTGCGCTGAAATCCGCGCGGGAACGCGGATCCTGGTGCATACGGGAGCCTGGTGTATACATGTTTCGTTGTTCCCCTTGGAAAACGACGGAGAAGTATACACCACACCACCCCGACGTCGTCCCCGACCCTCAAAAAGGTCCTGGAACTGAAAAACCGCTCGCCACTGGCAATGTATGTGCTCCAGTTTCCGACGTGATCCTCGGGGATTGCCAGCATCACCACGCCGTGCGCGTACAAGACGAGGTCGTCCAGCTGCGGCCCGCAAGCGCCTGGCACGGCTCCGCCGCCGAGCTCGCCCGCCTCCAACCGCGCCAGCAGCCGCTCCAGCTCGGCCAGCACGGCCGCCGCGGGCGCGCCCGCGCGCGGGCGCTGGCGTGCCAGGGCGCGGCGCCGCCAGCAGTACGCCCTGACCGTTGAGGGCTCAGCGGCTTCTTCGGTACCGTCGAACCGATCCCCATCTCCACTGGGCCACAGTATCTCAGCCCCACCACTCCACCCCCCCCCAGCTGAAGAGATGCCCTGCGCAGTCCGAGGGAACAGCAGATGTTCCCATACAGGGGGGGTAAATCGGCCAGTGGGACCAAGGCCACGCCAGTGGGGATAGGGATCGGTGATGCTCACTACTGCTGCCCCTCCACTCGCGCTTGAGCGTCCACGATTTGCTCCAGCCGTCGACTTCGCTGGGGATCTCTGGATTTGCCCCGACTCAAGTGTACCTAGTTCGATCCATGTTCCAAGGGGGGGGTACAATCGTTGTGCTACCACAAGGGACGATGAACAAGGAACTAGTGGGGCATCCCGAGCCTGAAATTGTTCTGATTCCTTATTCCAGCGTCTTGACTGTACCTCCACGTGCCTGGCTTGATACCTGCAACGACGTCCTCAACTTCTCAAGACGGGCTCCTCGGAGGGTCCCGACCCCTTTCCCCAAGGCAGATTTTTGGTCCCAAACCGTTGTTTGACGCTTCCGGAACATCCCGTCGTGGTTTCTGTCACGACGCGAGCCTGTCTGGCAAGTTGATTGGAGAAGAGCGGTTAAGCCCTCAGGGGGACCGCGCGGTGACCCCAGAATCCCAGGAGACCTCACCGCGCGGTCCGTCACCGCACGATTTTGGGGACCTCGGAAGCCCCACTCGCTCGAGGCGTCCTCGCGCGCCCCATCGCGCGCAAAACAGACATACTGCATCTCCCTCACTCGGCGCTATGTGGCGCTGTTGGTAGCTATTTGGCGGTACTTGAGCGCTGTTCGGCGCCACTGGACGCCATGTGACGCTATTGAGAGCAATTGAACGCTACTGGGCACTATCCGCTGATGTACACTCAATCCAGGACGAGTGGAAGCTTCCGTGATTTACGGTCTAGTTCCGGATCTGGCCTGACCCCCGCAAGTCTTTGGGAGAAAGCAGCCGCTGAGCCCTCAGGGACCTGAGGAGCGGCCTGAGCAGTGGGGGCGCAGCGGCCGCGCCGAGCACGGCGGGGCGCGTGTGCTTCCTGTAGCACGGCGTGTGCGCCCACAGCGCATAGTCGACGGCGTCGGGGCGGACGAGGTGAGGGGCATCGGCAAAAGCCCCCTCGTGTCGTGAACAGATCACGGCGGGAGGCCTTCAGCCCACTTCGGCCACGGGGGGCCCTCGCCGGGCCCCAGGACCTCAAAAAACGACTCGGGATTAAAAACCGGTCCTGGTGAATGGACGCGACCTCCCCGGGCCCGCGCTGGAGGACAAAAAGAATCCGTCGACCCTGTCGGCGTGTGTGAGGGGCTTGTCCGTTCAAGTCGTCATCTCCGTCATTCGTTGGTCGTCGTCTCTGTCGTCCCCTTTCCCTGCCTCCCCCCTTTCCCTGGGGCTCGTCGAAGCTCCCCCCTTTCCCAGGGACCTCCTCAGCGCGACAGCCAAAGCGAAAATAAGCAACGTCGTAATTGAGTCGAAGGGAAACCCCTTCCCTTCGATCCCTCCCCCGCCGGGGGGGTGGGGGGGTGGGGGGGGGTCCCGGGGGGGGAGGGGGGGTCAGACGCCCTGGGGGGGAGGGGTCAGACACAACGCCCCCCCTGGGAGTCCCGTAGCCCAAAAAAGCCCCAAGACGGGCCAAGAGTGCCACAAGAGACCCCAAAGACAGTCCAAGAGAACCCCGAATCGCCGAACGATCTGTCCAAAACGCCTTGACGGCCTCCAGACGGACCAAGAGGCCTGCAAAACACCTCTAAGAGGCTTCCAGGACCTCTCCCACGAGAGCCCCAAGAGGCAAAATTCATGGATTTCCAATACGTTTTTGAAAGATGTTTGCGTTGTTGCCTCTTCCGCTTCCCGACGCGCCAAGACGGCCCAAAAGGCCCCCAAGATCGCCCGGAGACGGCCCAGGAGGCCTCCAAGAGGGTCCCCTGACGGCCGAAGAGGGCCCCAAGACGGCCCAAGACGCCTCCAAGACGGCCCAAAAGGCCCCCAAGACGGCTCCAGGAGAGTGGCCAGACGGGGGACCCGAACGGACATGTCGAGCTCTCAGCCCCAAGAGGCCCCGAAGAAGCCCCAAGAGGCCCCAAGAGGCTCCCAAGGGGCCCCCAAACTGCCCCAAGACAGCCCAGGAGAGCCCCAAATTGCCAAGGAGGCCTCCAAGAGTGCCTCGAGGCGGCGCAAGAGGAGCCCTGGACGGCCCAAGACGGCTTCAGGAGAGCCACAAGCTGTCCCAAGAAAGCCCTTGGCCTCCTCCTCTTGCTCCTCCTCCTCTTCCTCCACCTCCTTCTCCTCCTCCTCCTCCTCCTCCTCCTCCTCCTCCTCCTCCTCCTGCTCCCCCCTCTGCTCCCCCTCCTCCTGCTCTCCTCTGCCTCCCTCTCCTCCTCTTGCTTTTCCTCCACACCCTTCTCCCCCCTCCTCCTCTATCATCCACCTCCTCCACCCTGCCCCCCCCCCGTCGTTTGCATCTTCGTCGCTCCCAGGGTCGGCGGCAACGGCCGCAAGGCCTTCGCAATACGTCGGAGGTCCAAGTATAGACCTACACCTATCCTTTTGGACGCCCGACATGGGCACCGAAAGAATGGGTACGATAGGCCGGCCTAGCGGATCAGCTCACGCACCTGGCTTTCCCTGAAGGGGCCCCAGGACACACAAATAAATACACACAAATAAAAGGATTCCCCATATTTTCCCATATTTTCTGGGTTGTTGTCTTCCCCCCACTTCCCATATTTTCCCATATTTTTCCTGGGAGTCGACGATTAATTGTGTCTGTGTGTTTTTTCCCCTCCTGATTCCCAGCGCCTCCCAGGAACGGCCTCGCGTGGCCGACGTCGACCACAAACTGGGCGCCACGAGCACTTTTCAACGCCCGGGTCTTGGCAGCGCGCAGAGAGGGGTGGCGCGAGCTCTCTCGAGAAGACAGCAATCGGTTGCAAAATAGCCGGTCGGCAACAAGTACCGAAGTTCGTGTTTTTGTTGGCGTCGAGTTTAAAGGTTCGAGTTACCACTATACATATATATATATACACACATATATATATATAAACCCTCTGTGAACCTACCCAAAAACAAACATATCGGTAACCGACCGTTTGAACTGAAATCGGAAATATAATGCGAACTAAAATCGATCAGTAACCCCATCCGGTCATTAAACAATGCACTGTCGGCTCGGTATGTGTTTAGTTACGTTGGCACGTAGATTTAGCAAATCGTCTGGGTGCGTGCAACAGTCTGCAATACTACGTCAAGTTACGCTCGATACGGCAATCTTGCTTCTTATTTAAAAGACTGCCGTGCCAGGACGGTGTGTTTAGCTCGCCGAATTGACCTGGATGTTGTGATACGTACTACTTGTAGTTTTGGTTCGGATGAATCTGGGTGACATTCAACATGCACTCATCCTCGCCTGCGGGGATTGGGTTGGGCAGCGTGCCGCGTGGTTTGGCAGATTCGTCGCCACAGCTTTTCTTTGAAAGCATACCAGATGACAGCCAGTCGGTCAACAGCGGGCCGAAAACAAGTCGCCCATGCCTAAGGTTCGTATCGCGCCCTGTTCTCAGCATGCTCCTTCACATGATTGCGTCGCCGCCATCCTAGGGAGAAGAAGACGACAAGCATGCAGGCCGAATGACCAGTTGAACAGACCTGTGCTTGCACATGAGGATAGAGGTGTATGCGAAGAAGCGAGTTGAGGCGGGAGGCGAAGAGGATGGGGCGTCAAAGTGAAGCTAATCCCCATGAGAACGCATCGGCTTGGAGAGTCACTACAACAACATAAATATGTCGCAAACGCCCTGGCTGAACCACATTGCAGAAAACAGCCCGCCTGGCATTCTGCACAATAGGCTTTACATTCTGCATAGCCGGGAGGTTAGCCTTGAAACGCTAACGAATTTCCAAGACATCGGAAATGACGTCGACAAGCCAGCTTCGGCAAAATCCGGTTGAAGAGCATGCCTTTGGTGAGCGGGCGGCGGGTCTGTTGCGGAACAACGACTGTTGACGTTTCGATTTCCCCTCTTGTTTCAGGCTGAGCAGGGCGAAAACGAACGATGTATTCCTGGATTGCCACTCGCATCGCGATCACAAGAAATTTGACCCTGGATCGGCTTCAAACTTAAATCCTACCGACCAAGTTTGGATAGAACGTTGAGTTCGGGTTCGAACCCATCCCAAATTCGAGCGCGCAAGTCTGTTCAATTAACAACCCACGTTCGCGTCCTGTGTTCACTCCTCCAAACAACACGCCTCTTCTCATCGTCCGTTCCACTCTCATCAGCAACCGTTCGGGCTCCCTCGCAGGGGTTGCGCTTCCATGGGCGTATACATCTGGAGTTGTGTTGCTCCATGTTCGCCATGAGTTGCGTCTGGTGAACAGATAACGCGCGCGTCGCTGATTAGACGCGCCAGCCGCGGCTGCGCCGCAAACCGCTGATTCCTGCGCGCGACCCTCAGACATGCGACGAGATGTTCATCAGAGAAGATCGCAAAAATAACTTCGACCCCCTCTGATCCCCCCCAGCCCGCTGCCGAGGCCAAACTCGCGCGGGCGACGGCGCCGGGCCTGGGTTTGTCGTTCCACGCCCAGCCGCTGCTGCAGCGCACCCCCCCGGCTCGCGCACGCGGCGCTGCCTCCGCCCCATCGAGCTCGAGGCGGCCGTCCAGACCGTGGACAATGACGCGACGGCGCACGCCACCCCGCAGCCTCAGGAGCTGCGGCGCGCATCGCTGTCCCCGATCGTTCGCGTCGCGTCCTCCTGTCAAATCTCGGGGCCCTAGAGGCGGTCGAGGGCGCCGCCGCCGCTGCCCGCGGAATCCGCGCGCGGCAGCGCGCTGCTGATGCTGCGCAAGTCGGCGCGGTGGACCGCGCGCCCCACCCGCGATTGATCGGCGTTGGGCGGCGCGGCTCCGCGCCCCCGGCCCGCTGGCGGCCCGGGCGGCGGAGGGGCCCCGAGCACGCCGAAGGCAGGCGGCACCGCGCCGCGCGCCAAGGGAGGGGGCAGGGGCCCAAGCCCCGAGAACAGCGGCGCTGACGACGTCGACCTCGCGCGCGCCCTCGAGAAGGCGGCGGGCCGGGGCGCGATCTCGCTGTTCGACTCGGACGGCGAGGGCCCGTTCACGCGCACGCTGGGGATGGCGCGCGACGTCGCCCACCCTCTGCCCCAGCCCGCGGGCTTCGACGGCAAAGACTGGGGCGCGCTGCGCCTGGCCCAAACGCCGAGCCCGTCACGCCCGCAGAGAGGAGGAATGTCAAGGGGCCCACGAAGGCAAGGTCACGCCCGCGAAAGGGGCCCAATGTCGCGCCCGCCCAGAGGCCCAAAGTCGCGCCCACGTCAAAGTCCAAGGTCACTCCCACGAGAAGCCCCGAGGCCGCGCCCATGAAAGGCCCGAGGTGACGCCCGCGGAAGGGCCCAGGGCCACGCCCGCGAAGGGGCCCAAGGTCACGCCGCCGAAGGCGCCGAAGATCGCGCCCATGAGTGGGGGAGACGGTCGCGCCTATAAAAGCGGCCATGGCGCGCGCGAAAAACCAGAGAGCGCGGGGGGCAGCGGCGTTCCAAGCAAGGGGGGGGGCCACGGCTGCCCGAAAGATGGGCGGTTCGGCCACTGCGCCGACTGCAGGGCCAAGAGGGCCGCGATCTCGCCGGCAACGTCAAAATTGCTGTCGGGCACAAATGCGCCAGAGCTGGCCCGCATTGGAGCTCGCTTACTACTCTGGCCTCGCATGGCTCCGTGCCAGCCAACACGGGGTGGCGCTGATTGCCCTTGACGATCAAATGCTCTTGATGTAGCGCGCGGCGCGCTGCAATCCTCGCCCCCGCCCGCCCCGCGTCTCTGGCTTCTCGAAAGAGTTGGGAAGTTAAGCCGGGGCTGACTCTCAAGTAACTCGGATTACATCCAGGCAACGTCTCTGATTTACCCCGGGCTTACATGCTAAGTCGACACCAGCATGAACTTTCGGGGCTCTCGCCCACGACTCTGGCAGCGTTCAGTATCGTCAAATTCCAACGGGTAGACCTCAACGCCACTGAAATAGATGGCGCCCCCCCCCCCCCCCCCCCCCCGCCCCACCCCATAATAATCGCCCCGACACGCGAGGCCGTTTAGCAAACGCACCCGCAGAAGGAATCGAACATGGCAGGGCTGTGTAGTAAACGCCCAAGGCCATTTAGCAAACGCCTATAATCGTGCCGCGGTGGCTTCCCCTCCCTTGATTCAACGTCTCGCGACGAATTCGAGCATGGACTCCCAAGGCTTCTTCTAGCGTGGACTCTCTGGAAACACTCTCGAGGCTAACTCCTGGGATTCTACCCCATCCCACCCCGCGCCCGCCCGCCCCGCGCCACGACGCCCGCGCGCGCCGCGCACCTCACCCCCGAGAGCAAAGACGTGAGATGGCGATGCGCACAGGAGGAGCGGCTGCCACTGGACGCGGCCACGCTCGCCTGACATCGCGCCGATCAGCGCCCTGCCGCGAAACAGGGAAGCGTCGTTGAACGAGATAAGACCGCCCAGGTCGCGGGGCTTCGCATTCGGCTGGGCAGCCTGCTCGATCGGCTGGCCTGCGGGCACGCCAGCGCTCGGCTCCAGGCGCGCCGGTGCCCGGCTGAAAGCCCGTCTGGATCGGCCCCCGGGGAACCCGTCTGCTCGGCTGGACGTCCTTCTCGATCGGCCCGTCAAGAACGTCAGCGGGCGGGGCGAGGCCCGGCTAGATCGGCTCGGCAAGAACGCCAGCAATCGGCACGAAGTCCTTCTCGATCGGCTCGCCGCGAACATCGGCTCTCGACCGGGCCTCGCCAGAACCATCGGTCTCGTCGAACGCGCCTGGCATCGCGCCCAGCGTCGACGCGCGAAGCTGCCTCGGCGGCGCGGGCGGCGGGCGGGGTCGACGGCCCCCGAGGCTGTCGTCTGAAGGGGGCGCTCGGGTGTCTCGGCGGGCTTGAGCGCAGTCGCCCCAGGCCGAGGGGTCCGTTGTCGCCGCCGATCTGGAGGCCCACGGTTATTGGGGGCCTCGCAAGCGACATGGGCCTCTTGGGGTGCCCGCCTAGTTCAAGCCACGCTGACGCGCCCAGCTCCAGCGCGCGTTGGGATTCAACCTTCTTGGAGAACTCCAGGAGATCATCGCATTTCGTCGAGTTAACAATTGGCCGTTTCCGAATGACGCGCGCCTCCTGGATACATGGGCAGCCCACAACAATCAAGCCGCTCCGAACCAGTCTTCGAGACATCCGTGCATCTAGCTGACCAGTAAACACTTTGACCAAATCAGCATGCGCAATATCGAGGGCACCCAGCTAAATCATTAGCAGGCCCTCAGATGTGCGCGTCGCCTCACATCTTCCCTAAGCGTGCTACAAAATGCATCGGTGCTTCTCGGACATTGGCTGTGCACCTTTGCCGCTGAACCCCAAGCTGCAACATTTGAATGAAAAATTGAGATGGGAATTTTACGGTTCTACGAGCGCACTAACAAACGAATGGTTGAGCTTGGATCAGGCGTCCTTGAAGAGTCCAGCTTAGGTTGTTTACCATGGGTTCAGCGCGGGTTGCAGACCAACTCGAACTCAACCTCAGATTCGTATTCGGGCGCTCGTGGAAACTTCCATTTCCCATCGGAATCGCGCAAGGGACACGCGCGGCCCCGTAACTAAAAACAGGCCATGCGAAACTCCAGATGTTAATATCTCCCAGACTGACAATGCATAATCTACTCATCCATGATGATGGGTTCGTCTCTCCCGTCGCGCCCCCCCCCTCGACCTCTGGCGCCGTTTTGGCTCCGCGACGGTCTGCGGTGCGCCTTCATGGAATCATCTCAAAGATCAGCTCGAAGCTCGCCGCCAACCAAGCGATCGTGAACCTCATGGCCGCGAAACTCGAAGATCTCGAAGACGACCCAGACGATGGCGACCGCGAGGGGGAAAAAAAGGAAGGTGCCGCCGAGGTGGACGACGAGGAGCCCGAGTAGTGAACACCATCCAAACAAGCCGAGAACCCTGCAGCTGCGCCGAAGATGCCATTGTTCAAGAAGCCTGCAGCTGCGCCGGAGACGACTGCCCCCAAGAAGCCCGCAGCGCCCGAAGGCCAGGACCGGGCGAAGATGTGGCGTCGCAGCCAGATGCGCGAGGACTTGCCACTTGCGGTCAACGAGCTGCTCGGCGAGGCCAGCCGCCGCCTGGCTTGCGCGCGCGCGCGACGAGGACCTGGTCAACGACCTCATCGCGAAGCAGAATGCTCCCACGCGGGACTCGCCTTGGCCCGTCCAGCAGACCAACCGGAAGAAGACGAAGTTCGGCGCGGACAGGCGCGCGGGCGCGCGCTACGACATCATGAAGGAGCGCTTCGTGGACGGAACTGCAGGCCTCGACGCGGCAATCAAGGGCGGCGCCTTGGAGGAGATGGCAGTCGACGGCGCTCGCTTCTGCGCCCAGCGCAAGGTCGAGGCTGGGCCCAACCGCGATGCCACTAAGCCCGCGAAGATGACGACTGGCAAGGAGGTGGAGCCAGACCACAGAAACGCATTCGCCCGCGCCGTGGACCGCATGCAGCTTGGACTCCAGCAAACATCCGCCGAGCATACCTCGCAGGACCGCGCGCGGAGCCCGCCGGCCCCGGCCGCAGGCGCCGCATGCGCCGCTCCAGGACAGCGCAGCGACCCCAGGCCCACACGAGCCCGCCCAGGCCGCTGGCCCAGCCGCCAAGCGCGCCGCCCTCAGCGGCGAGCTGAGTCCCAGGACGCCGCCACCGCAACGGCAGGAGGGCGAACCGCGCGCAACCGCGACCTCGCCGCCGCACACGGTGGTGCCCAGACCGATCGCCCCCAGGCGATCTTGAACCAGAAGATGACAACATATAAACATGTGATCCCAAGAAAGTCGAGACGAAGCTGGATTGACGCATGGGCCTTTCTGAAAACATCTAGCAAGCTCTGCCTATACATGATCGGATTAGGTCAATATGGTCCACGCGTTTCCGTAACATCTCATCTCATGTTTAGAAAAAACAAGCAAGCCCGACACCCCGACAACTTAACTAATTAGTTAATCTCGGCCGACCAGCAACAACTCGACTGATTAGTTAACGGATGTCGATCAGTTATTTTCAGTCTCGTGAGGTTGTAGGGGGGGGGGGGGGCTGGGTTTCTGAGAAGGCGGGGGGTGGGGGGTTCAAAGGCAGGGGCCTTCTTAGAGACGCCTGGGTGCTTGTAGGCAGACTTCGAAGGAGCCAGGAGGGCTTCTAAAGCCCACCCTTGCCTTATTGGATATCCCCCCGCCGTTTCAGAAGGCCGCGCTCCTCCCGCCACCCCTTTGTGCGCCCCACCATGCCCTGAGATCCCACGACGCGAAACAAATTATCCCAGTGCGACCCTACCTAGGAGTTCGAGGAACTAGGAAAGCAACATCTATATGAAGCTAAGTTAAGCTAAGATGAAGCTAAGCTAAGATGAAATAAGCTAAGCTAAGATGAGATAAGCAACGCTAAGCTAAGGGAACGTCACTGAGGGAACCGCGGGGCGGATACTGGGGGAACCGCCCGGGGCGAGTTGCACTGCCCGGCCCTTCAAGCATACCGAGTAATGACCCTTCTAGGCAGAGCCTAGGTAGGGAACAAAACATCGCGAAACAGCACTACTGGAGCCGTAGAGCCCACCAGCTTTCTGCGACAACATCCGAACCAGATCGATCCGTGCGTCCTGGGCCAATTTTTGCTGTGAAAACGCCCAGTTTGACAAAAAGGCAACGCCTGGATCTCAAGGAAGGTCGCGCTCATCGCGTCACCGTGTTTTGTGCGCCACCAGGGACCTGAAAGCCCCCTCCCCGGATCCCCGACATCAGGATGTTTCTGCAATGCGGCTCCCCAGATAGGCCTAGGCCCCTTCCGGGAGACCCGCTTTTACCCTGCGCCGCTCTTTGTCAGTCCCAGGGCCTGGTAGGGGGCCCCACGGGGCCGAAAACGATGAAAAACCTGCCGCCGTGTTTTTCCTGTCTTGACGGGGTCCGGGCTTGAGTTCAGTATTCGTGTCTAGGAAGCCAATTTAGGCCTGTGTGCCTAGGGCAGGGGTGCGGGTGTCGTTGGGCGTGCGTGCGAAGTGTACGCTAGCATCCCATATACGAGTGTGATGCAGCATGTTTCCACGAGTGTAAAAGGGTCGCTTGATGTAACATCGTCCTGGGTATGCCTGCGAACGGGTTTGCAACAATGGTGTCTCCAGAGGAACCAAAGGGGTCCACCACGAGCGGCGAACATGTCCGTATACGCGCACTCGCGGTCTGGCTTCCGGGGCGCGATCCCGCGGACACGCGGTCGCACGGACACGTCCCGCGCGGGGCGCCCGCGAACAAAAACGCCCCGTAGGCGCGGGGTGGCGGCCTAAAGGCCCAGCCCGCGAGGCCGCGGGCACGGACATGTCTTTCGCCCACGGGCCTCGTCTGCCCGAAGTGCCGGGCTCCGGCGCGCGCTCCACGACGAGGACCACC